TTGATCGTTTCGTGGTGGCTGAATCGCCATGGATCATGTTGTCGGCGGCAAATTTAAGCTGGGGAGGAAGATCGGGAGTGGGTCTTTTGGTGAGCTATATTTAGGTATGTCTATCTGTTCAGCATTTTGATTCGATTTGATGTAATTCTGTTTCAAAAGATTATGTTTTTCCTTTTTAAAATTTATTCTCACCTTGATTTTTCATTTCCTATTGTTGTAATGATTCCTGTTCTCTATGTGGTTAACTTACACAGGTTCCAATTTGCAAAGTAATGAAGAACTTGCCATCAAATTGGTAATGCTTTTTTCAGTGTTTCTCTGATCATTACCCAAATATTGATTACGTATAATCTCTCGTGGTTGCATATACAGTGTTGTTCAGATGCTGCTAAATTGTTCCTATGTGGTTAAGTTTAAACAATCAAGTGTGATGTCTGAATCTTTTTCGTCTTGTTTGTAATCCTATACTAGACACTTATTTCGAAACTTAAGCTAGATGCTGAAGTAGCGTTTTCCTTTGTTATGTAATTCGTCTATCAAACAGAGTTGTCTAACTAAAGCAGGACAATATCTGATTGCATTTGTCTTGACATATATTCATCTCTGGTTCTTTAAAGAGATGGATGGATGAAATGAGCAGTAATTGATTAATTGCATTGTTTTTGGTCTTCAATTGGTACATATTAGGTGTTAATGTGTTATATTATATCTGATGCTGCTTCAGTATATGTGCACTTTTAATTTGTTTTAGACAACGATAAAGTTTTATAGATAAATATGGATGCAATAGTAACGTCTATTTATTATGAATAGTTTTACTGATTGTCTATTTAATTTTGTATCCCCTATTCCTTATTCTGTATCTATATCCTATTACCAGGAGCCGGTCAATACCAGACATCCACAGCTTCACTATGAATCAAAAATTTATATGCTTCTCCAAGGAGGAAGTAAGCTCTTAGTACTCTTTTGTTTATCTTCTTTGCACTATCAAATATCTTCTTTGTTTCCTGGCTATGCATGTTATTGTTAAGCTTTTTTTCTTGTTTTGGGGTAAGTATTGCATACAAGGTTGTCTGTTATCTGATCATTTTCATCTAGTAAAGAAAAAAATGCTACAGTGATTGAGTGTGTAGATTGAATCACATTCTAGACAACGGGTTGACTCTTTATTTTCCTATTCTTGTGAAGCGGGCATTCCCAATCTTAAATGGTTTGGTGTTGAGGGTGAATACAACGTTATGGTCATTGATCTCCTTGGTCCAAGTTTGGAAGATCTCTTCAACTACTGCAATAGGAAGTTCTCTCTAAAAACTGTATTAATGCTTGCAGATCAATTAGTAAGTACGAGTAGTTATTAGCTAAACACATGTTATGCATTCTTTTTTGCCTGCATGCTATGTTTCGTCTATTATCCATTTGTGATTATCCTATTAATTCTTTTTTTTTTTTTTTTCAGATTAATAGAGTTGAGTACATGCATGCCAGAGGACTTCTACACCGCGATATAAAGCCAGATAATTTCTTGATGGGCCTAAGTCGCAAAGCAAATCAGGTAATTTCTTTGATTTGTTATCTAGTTTAGTTTTAAAACGGCTGTTCCATTGACTCCTGAACATAAATATTACTTTGTAAATGTCATAAATAATATCTTGGTTAGAAAGAGTGATCAATTGTGCAAAAAGAAGGCCCGACTCCAAGTTAATTTTTTTTTTATTAGACAGCATGATCTTTAAACTTAATAGAGGCGACATATTTGTGCAGGTTTATATCATTGACTATGGCCTTGCTAAAAAGTATAGGGATCTTCAGACTCATAAGCATATTCCATACAGGTACTGACACGACACTTTCTGATTTTACTGGTTGGTGAATCGAAATTGCATGATTCCAACCTAAGCTAACGTGGCATCCTCTTTGCATTAAATTTGTGTATCACGTGCAAGGGAAGTTTCCGTTGCTCAAAAACAAAAAATATGTTGGGGGTGTTTGGTAAATGGTTGTTAGCTGATTGGGTTAGTGAGTTTGACTAGTTGATTGTAGGAAAATGTTTGGTAAATTAGCTGTTAGCTGATAGTTGATTAGATACAAAATGACTCTCAAAAAGCTAATCAAAAAAGCTACTTTGAGTAGCTTTTTGAATTTTAGCATTTTGGAGCAATAAGTTGTTACAAAAAGCTAATTAATCAAACACCCATATTAATTGTTTAACTAAGTCAAACAGGTAATAGTGGTCAAATAAGCCAAAATTGGCTGATAGGCTAACTATTTACCAAACAGGGCCGTTTTATTTTTATAGGTTGTTAGTTACTACATTTTGACCTTAATGTCGGGGTAAATAATATTCTCTCAATCCTCCCGCCTCTCGTGCAAAGGATGGACAATATGTCATCTTTAAAACCGCTGAATGGTTTATGTTCGACTCCTGCCACAGGGAAAACAAGAATCTGACAGGCACAGCTCGTTATGCTAGTGTCAACACGCACCTTGGTGTTGGTGAGCTTACTATACACAATACTTCAGATTTCAACTTATATAGAAGATATAATTTGATTTGATTTTAGAATCATTTCTAAAGTTATCAATCACCGTTCTCTATTTGCCAACAGAACAAAGCAGAAGGGATGATTTGGAGTCTCTGGGTTATGTGCTTATGTACTTCCTCAGAGGAAGGTTGTATCTTTTAAGGGTTACCTATTTTATATTATTTCTCAAATCTCAAGTGGAGTTGTTCTATTAGGGTTTTGTATTGTATTAACATAATGAATTCTTTTATGTGCCCTTATCGTGAATTTCTTCTTGCCTCAGCCTTCCATGGCAGGGACTAAAAGCTGGTACCAAAAAGCAGAAATATGATAGAATCAGTGAAAAGAAAATGCTTACTCCAATAGAGGTACTCATGGCTACCGAATAACACAATTATATTGAATTCATATCCGCATTGTAGACAGAACTTATACATGATTCGATTCTGGACTATAGGTGCTGTGCAAGTCATATCCGTCAGAATTCATATCATACTTCCACTATTGTCGATCTTTACGTTTTGAAGATAAACCAGACTATTCTTATCTTAAGCGGCTTTTCAGAGATTTGTTTATTCGTGAAGGTAAATTGAGAAAGTGGATCTTATTGTTTTTTGTTCCTGTCCAAAATTTACAAATTTGCATGCTAGTTTATCAAATTTACGTCTATTTTCTCTGCATTTTAACCTTCTTATTACTGCTGCAGGTTATCAATTTGACTTTGTTTTTGATTGGACAATTTTGAAGAGTCCTCAGATTGGTGCCAGTTCTAGAGGGCGAGTATGTGCTTCTGAAACTGTTTTCTTATTGTTGCTTTTTCGAATTGTCGCTTCGTTTTGGTTACGTGATATCTCCTTGCCTCCAGAATCCTAGCGGGAATGCGGGATTAAATGCTGGGCCATCTGCTGAAAGACCAGGAAGAATGACATGTACTTATCTTCAAACAAAAGATTTAATGTTGACGATTTATTGGACTATGACATTTATGATATTTGATTATTTGATTATCAGGCACCGTTGAGGCACTTTCAAGGAGGAATGGTCCTGGCCGGCATGGTGAGAACTCAAGACAGAAATCAGAGGACGTACCTTCATCGAAAGATGTGGTAAACTTGATACTCTATTTGTTTTTTCTCGGTCTTTTTGGAAGTGATTCTTTTTGCTAGTGGCACGAAATGGCTCTCCCAATGGGTTCGAGCCTCAGTGGGGGCGATATTGACTCTTTGTGCTTCAGTAGATTGAGAAAGTAATTATGAACAGATACTGCATTGTAACAGAGCCAGTAGTACTCAAAATATATATATATATATGCCACGCCTATTTTGCCTAAACGTAGGTGTGACTTATCTGCAGCAACCGGATACTGAAAGGGGTCGGACCTCAAGAAACGCCTTCTCTTCAAAAAGAGCCGCGATTTCAAGCAGCAGACCCCACGCTGCCGAAGCAACCGATGGTCGCCCGAGTAGATTAGTATCAAGCACTGGCCGCTCGTCTACTGCACAAAGACTTCATCCCGGGACTGAATCCAAGCCCCGGTCAGGGGCAACAAAGGGCACCCGCGACGACCCCCTTCGCAGCTTTGAGTTCCTCAATCTCCGGAAGTGATGAGACGCGAGTTCTAATAAGGAAAATTCTGGCAACTCTCTCTATTCAAGGCAATCTCTGGCCTATCTTCGAGTATTGAACTTCCTGTGTAAATGGAAAACCTATCCTGTGCTGCAACTAAAGCTTATCCCAACTTGTATCAGTGTTGATTGTTTTTGTTTCTCTAGAGATTATGGCCGCCACGCTGTTAGACTCGTCCAAGAAAGTCACGAGTTTTCGTCATATGTAACACAGGATTTGATAGCTGTAATAAATGTTTTATGTATGAATATATATCACCTTCCAGGCAATGGCTGTATTTAACAGGCTATCCAAATAAGCATAGTGTGGAATCACACTTCTTTGTTAGTTGAAAATGTGAAGAATGCTTCTTTTGTTTTTTTTCCCTTTTTCCATATAACACCCAGTATTTGATCCGGGTTGTGTTAGTTTCATGAAATAAATTTATTTCGTTGATTTTTATGATAAAGAATAGAATTCTACAGAATGAGCTACTCCCTTGATATTAGCTATTCCTAGCTCGTTTGGAAGCTTCCTATTATCGCTAAGACATGTTTTTTTTTTTTCTTTGTTCTATATATATATATATATATATATATGTGTGTGTGTGTGTGTCTGTTTTTTTCCTTACAAAATTTGTGTATATACACACAATATACTAACCCTAAACCCATCATAAATTTGTATGTACTTTATTTTGAATAGAGGCATTTTGATCATTTAAATGATTCCTTTTCTATTTCCTTGGCTCACACATAATTCTTGGAAGGAGGTTTTAACTTATAATTCTTTAACTTGGCGCGGACATATAAGAGTCGGCATGCAGGCAATGGGTTTAATTATAGCAGAAAGTATGAAATGTCAAGAATCTAAAGAGTATCAAGTGATTCATTTGAGGATCTTAAAACCAAGCTCCAAACATATCATAATGCTTAATAGAGAAAAGTCATGTACATTGAATTACAGTAAACTTGTCATCACAGCAATAAAATGAGAAGACACAATTGGAAACAAAGGAGGCATTGACCTTAAGGATTTCTAACTTCTAAGGGCAGCCAATCTCTTCTCGAGTTCATTCATTCCCGAGCTGTAGGCAAAGATGAGAAATACGATAACAATTTGTTAGGTACGTGTGTCGATAGTTGTATAGCGTGCAGCACGCAAGAGAAGGTTGAGGACCGGTTATTTTCCCCAGAAACCATGTAAATAGAAAATAAGAACATACCTACTCTCCTCGACCTTTTTCCCAGCAATTTTTCCTTTTGGAGCTGCCGATAACTGTCAAGAATTCAAGATTAATAATGTTAACCAGAGCACCCATGGCATTGTTCAACATGGATTTATTTGTAAACGCCATTTGAAAGTGTAACGAGTAGTTGCAAACTCAATGCACCATAAAGTGTGGAACTGTGGATCCTAAACATAGTGAAGAGTGATTTTACACAGCGATATCGATTACTATTCTTTAAAAAGAAATTTCGAACAAAAAAATATCGAAATGCCACTGTTTAACGGTATCTTAATCATGGTTGCAGTAGACGCTAGACGTTAGTCGGGCGATAGAGTAGCGCCTAGGCGGCTAACTAAAAAAAGGAATCAGTGCACGTGTGTGGGTGTATGTCATATATATATATATATATATATATATATATATATATAAAATTTAAAAAAATTAGCAAGGCCAACTCAACCGAGTCGGCTGATTTGTCAAGCTAGGCGGCCGGCCGCCTAGGGGCTAATTCGCCTTGGCCTAGGAGCGCCTAGTGCCTAGGCGGCCGGCCGCCTAGGGGCTAATTTGCCTCGGCCTAGGAGCGCCTAGTGCCTAGGCGCGCCTAGTGCCTAGGCGGCCACCTAGGCCGATTTTTGCAACAGTGTTCTTAATATAATTATTTGTGTTTGTGAGTACATTGTGTTATAACAAAAACGAATGCATAATTGTACAAAACTCACCTGTGAAGCAACATCAACACCAATTTCATCAAGGACCTACGGAAGTCAAATTAAATACTTTGTGAGAACACATAAGATGAACAAGATTATAATATAACTATACGTCTCGCTCAAAGTTTAAGGTGCATGATGGTGTTTCGTCCTCCTTATGTGTACTCTAGTAAGGTAAACATTCAAAGGGTTTTTATAATTTTGCTCGAGAAAAGAACATTTAGTAAGGATACCTGATTTGTCAACTCATCAGTTTCCTCTTCAGCTTCATCATCATCCAAAGCATCATCTATGGCATCTGACATCATTTCCGTCTGCAAAATGCAATTCCAGAGAAGAGTTAAACAACAATACATTTTCATAAAAGATTCGAGTTCACCAGACATCTACTTTCTAGTATTTGAAAGGTTAGATACGGTCATTTCTTAGAAAGATAAAAACCAATAGAAGTTCAAATAAAGCCAGAAATCAGTCCAATATGTCTTATTACTATAATTGGAGAAGGTATAAACCGTATAATCATACTTACAATCATATCCATTTGTGCTGATTGCTTCTGGAAATCTTGAATAACCTTCGCCTGTTTTGCTGGAGCCATTTGCTGCAAATAGATTCAATTTCAATACGCTATAAGAATGAGGACTAACAGAGAAAACTTGGCATCATGGTTGAAAAAATCGCTAGAGGCGCCTAGGCGGCGGTTAATCGGCGCCTGGGCGCCCGTGTATTTTTTTTTTTTTTTTTTTTTTTTTTTTTAAATTTGTTTAATATTTTTTTTTTAAGACTTGATAATTATAAACTATTTAATACTTAATAGTTAATACTAAAATATTAAATATTAACCTAAAAAACATCTAAATTTTAACAATTTAGGGTTATTTCGCACAAAATGATGTCATTTTGACTTAAATAACCCATTTAAAAAAAAAAAAGTAACAATAGCTAATCGGCTAACTAGGCGACCTAGTCGGTGCCTACGCGGCCTAGTCAGCGCCTAGGAGGCCTAAGCAGTCAGAGTCTAGGCAGCCGCCTAGACCACTGATTATGGTGATACGCTAGGCAGCCGGGCACCTAGGCGCCAATTAGGCGGGATTTTTGCAACACCGGTTGGCATTAATAACAATGTCATCTTGGGGAGGGGGTGTCCTTCAACCACCGCCTAACCAAAGCACATCCCAAAACAAGAGAATGATACTTGATTCCCCCCCCCCCCCCCCCCCCCCCACTCCTCTCTCCCTTTTGAAATATCAAGGATCTTCGAACTCATGAAGATGCAAAAGTGAAAAGGAAAACCGGTTATCTCAAATCAGTCATCTGACCTTGTTCATAGCTGTCATGGCTTTAGTGGCACCTTTCATGCCTGCAGCAACTGAAGTTTGGGCATGTATTGCCTGGAGTAAGAATGAAGTTCTGGGTAAGTAAGACCACCAAAGAAAAGTGTAGAAAAGCAACTTATACATGAATTCCCCCTGAAGATTTAGCAGTTTACCTGAGTATGAGTTGCTATGCCTCTCATCTGAGCTCGACTTCCTTGCAGGTTAGCAATTTGCTGCCTTAGCCTGACTAGCTGACGTGCTAGAATCTTAGTTGCTGCCTAAAATGAAGAAACAAAAGATCAAATAAAGTCTCCTAAGAAGACTACCCTATCACTCAATGAATAAAATCAAAAGCTAACGCAGCTGTTTAGGACCCAACAGAATAAGCAACCAAAACCCCCACCTCATTTCCAGATTTAGCAGTTCTCTTTATCTCAGCAACAAGCTTCTTTTCCTGTCTTATCAACAACCACATTAGATTCTCTCCAAACGTTAAAACATCTGATTCCAAGAAAAAGTAACTTCTATAGAACTATAAATTAGACTCAATAATCTCAACATTATGATCACACGCATATTCTTATGTGTACGAATCGCATCAATAAATTACCTCCAACTGCAAACCAGAAATTTCCTTCTCTATGCCTGCATCACAATTACAGACCACAAGTCAACATGATTAGCAAAACATAGAGATCAGTCACTATTTCTTCATCTTTCAATCATTAAACTTAACATTTGTTTTCACAGAGCCAAACAACTACATGGGAGGTCAACAAGTGCAATAAGAACAAACATAAGTATGATCACCTAGAAAGTTTGTCACAGACTATCAATTTGATGTAATCCTAGTTTTCCTAGCAATACTAAATATCATAAAGACAGGTATTTTTATTTACTAGTATAGTATAGCACTCTCCTTGATGAATAGAAGAAGCACACTTAATTCACATAATCTAATTAAGAAGAGAGCAGAAACACACACCTCTGGTGGCATTGTTCATTTCTCGTTTACTGTCTCGAAGCACCTCTGCATTGTAAACAAGACGTAAAGACACAATCTTTTTCACACATGTGAACCCAAAAAAAAATCCAATTTTGACACTGATCAACCACTAAATAGAATTTCAATCAACCAAAATAGGAGCTGAAATTTATCCACTGATCCCAACAAGAAAAAAAGGGGTTCAAGGAGCAAGACAGCTACTGAAAACCCAAAAATTGAATTAAGAAAAAAAGAGAAATTGGAAGGTTGGGGGCGAACCTTTAGGCGTAGGCTTCTTGGAGAAGATATTCATGTTTGATATGAGGGTGCAATTCAATTCAACAACTTGGATATTCTATAAACCATAAACTTGTGTAGTCGCGCTGGGTTTAGTATCGGGGAGACTGGAGAGAGGAGCGAAACCTCGAAATTGTAGAGATTTGCAGGCCAGGCCTCCCTCCCTGCAACTTCGACCTTTTACGTGCCTTCTACACATTTTGTATTTCTTCCCCTTAACTTTTTGCTTATTGCGTTGCTATACACACGCGGAAATACAAATCTGACTCGGTCTCCAACTTCGTTTTACATTCCAAAAAGAGTTAATACCCAAAATAGTCCCTCGACTATGTCGTAATTACCAATTTGGTCCTCGACTATCATTCTTACCCAATTAAGTCCTCAACTATACAATTTTTACCTAATTTAGTCCTTTGTCAATTTGACTGTTTGTTGACTGTCAAAAGTGGAAATAAAGTTGTAATTTTACAAGTTTTCTCCTTCCTCCTCATTTAGCAGAGCCAAACCATGTAGCAATAAGCTCCGGTTGAGTTCTAAACCTGTCAGTATCGAAGTAGTGGTTATGCATCGGATAGCCCATGAATTTGATTTCCAACGATTTTTTTGACGATCGAAATCTGATCGGAGTGTATTGCTGCATGGTTTGGCGCTGCTAAATGGAGAGGAAGGAGAAATCTTGTAAAATTATAATTTTATCCCGACTTTTGACTGTCAACAAACAGTCTAATTAATACAGAGGACTAAATTGGGTAAGAATTGTATAGTTGATGACTAAATTGGGTAAGAATTGTATAGTTGAGGACTTAATTGAGTAAAAGTTACATAGTTGAAGACTTAATTGGGTAAGAATGGTAGTTGAGGATCAAATTGGTAATTATGGCATAGTCGAGGGACCATTTTGGGTATTAACTCTTCCAAAAATTGATTGTTTCCAAGAAAATGGCTAAATACGCCTTTTAGTTCAAAAGTTAATTAATCTTTTAAATTTTTTAAAAGTGTAATTACACATTCAATAATTTATTTTGATGAGTTTAAAAATTAATTAATGACATCTTATCACATGTCATTAGAGTTTCGACAACCAGCTGGTGAGATTTTAGAAAAATTTCAAGCAACAAAGTAATCGGCAAACCGTCGTCGGTGCGACCACCACTATAGTATGGTCGCCTTCTCATTCTTCATAACTGGCGATTCGCTAGTTACTGATCACTTTATTGTCTAAAATTTTACTAACAAAACCTTAATGACATGTGATAACAGATCATTAATTAATTTTTAGATGTTAATTGATTTTTCAGCTAAAATTTAATGACTTATTTAACCCTCCCTCAAAACAATGAACTGTTGTTTGGTTAGCATCTTAATCTTAAAATATGAGTTTTGATAGTTATTACGTGTTTCTTTGACTATTTTTATTATTTGTTTATTAAATATGAAGTTTTAATATTATATGTGTGTATTTATTTATTTAAATTCAAATTTCTATTTACTATAACCCATTTTACTTAAAAATTATTATTATTATTTAATTTTTATTATCATTTTGATTTTAATGTTAATTCATTAAGGCAATAAAATGAATAACGTTATGATCAAATGATAAACCCGCCACATTTCGACCATATTAGAAAAGATAAAATGAATTATCTCCCGTGTACCATGACATATAACACATGCATTTAATTCACGAGTTAAGCAGTTATAAACATACATTATTTAAATTCAATTGACACTAAATTGATTTTAATTCTAATATTCGAACAAAATGCATCATAACGTATATAATAAACATATATATCCAACACACCAACTTAAAGTCAGAAATCTGGTTACTCAAACAAATTATTGTAATTGCAAAAAAAAAAAAAAAAAAAAAAAAAAAACCAAAACAGAAAGATAAGAAAGGCAAATCAACCATAATAAAGATATCAGGGTGGTAAAATCTCAAACTTCTATTCAGGTAATGAAAAAGGCGAAGTCTTTGCTTTAGGGACAAAAATTAAAATTTCCAAATAAACAACACAAACTCAAAGCTTAGTGTAGCTAAGATCTCTCTCTATCAAAAGTCTGGGTTATCAGGCAGTGCTCTCCTTCTTAAGCTTGGCAAGCTCCTGTCTCACAACTCCAGCTTTCTGCAATACAATACCAGAGGCTGTCATTTTACGGAGAAAAAAAAAAACATAACATAAATTCAACCAAAAAACCAGACAAATTTGCAGTGGAAATAAGGTGATACAGGCTCAGATCAAGTGATTATAGCTGATCCATGGCATTTAGATTTCTTGTGATTGGTTATTTCTATTGTTGATATAGTGTGACAATTCACAAGAATAAAAGATGAAGACCAACCTTGATTTTTGCCAGCATAATCTTAAACCTGTCAAAGTCATTGAGGCCAGCCCTCCTCTTTTGCACGATCAACTTCCTCCCCCATGAGCTGTTCTCCCACTTGCTCTTCACATCTGGCAGAATATTGTATTTAGATAACCATGATGAGAAAAGATTAATAAGTGCATCCCTAACAAAAGTTTAAGGGTAAGGCGTTAAAAGCAGCACTAACCAGCAGCCTCCATAGCAGCGATCAAAGTCTTCTTTTTCGGCACTCTTTTAATGTCAATGGTGATGTCTGTGAGTGTAAGCCTCTTAAAGTTCATTTGGCTCCTAACCATGTCTGGAGCATCAACAAGGGCCTAGTAATTTATAATGGAATATAAAATAAAATAAAGTTAGACTACACTCTTTCCCGATTGTGATATATGAATATACACTTAAGAATAAACACAATGAAAGTATATACTTAAGACAGCCTCACTGCACGTAGGGCTATAATTAAAGGGCGCGCACATCACAACACAAATGAACATACCGCAAATTGGATTATACAAGTATGAAGATGGAAAAACCCATTATTATGTATTTGAAGTTCACTATGCATATAAGACTGGACTTAAACTCTAGCCTAGAGTAACAGTAGTATACGTTCCAAAACATCAAAAATAAAAACACAGCCTAGCACATTTTAACCAGACAACCGGGGAAAAAATATTCCTCCCTTCCACCACATTTTGCTCTTTCCCAAATGGGAAGAAACAAAAAGGAGAAATCTTTCCCTGCATTCTCAACACATCATCAACAAGAATTCCTCACTCCTCCCTCTCTCTCTCTCTCCCCATTTTCACTTCTTTCTTCTCATCTAGATGCAATATTTCTTCTCCATTCTCTGTGCCACCAGCCCACCACTATCTGTACCATCCAAGTTCGTCTCCAATTGAGGTGTTGATGGTAATTATAGTCATGAGCAACTCAAAATCTTCATTACACAAGACCCACATACAGCATAGCTCAGTAGTAACACACCATATACACCAAACAATCCTCAATAAACTCAAGTACCTCGTTCAAAAACATATAGCATAGCCACTTAACACACCACCATTCCCAAAAACTCCCTCAAAACAAAATCTTCATATGTAATATACCAGCTCAGAAGTAGCACATATTTGCTTACAGATTGGAACATCTAAATTTTAACATGTCAATAAAATCTGACAAAATAATTCTTCATGAAGTCAACATATACTACCAGCAAATTAAAGGAGTTAAATACTACCAGAAAAGTAATTATATGCATTCCATGACATACTAAATTAGACACACTACTTGAAAAAACAAGCAAAACATATAGCAACTCTTCGGAACGCATTAGACGAACGGAGACTGAGGTTTAAATTATAAACAGCGAGTTGAGCTAAGCAATTACCCTGTTCTGATCGATAACATCGACAATGACGACAAGCTTGCCATAGTCCTTTCCGTAGTTGACAAGGGCAACCCTCCCGATCTCCACGTACCTCTTGAACGGCTGCATCGAAACAAGAGAAAATCCATCGCCATTTTCAAATACACGAAGAGAACAGTATAGCGAGATAGAGAAAGTAGCAAACAGAGGAGAAAACTAACCATTTTTGGCAATCCGAATGAGCAGAACGGGGCGATGCAGGTTGAGCTGAGGCCGAAGGATTTTGCAGGAAGTGCAGTGTGTTGTTTATAGGTTCTAGGGTTAATACTTTGGGCTCCAGTGGTTATATGGGCTTAGGCCAAGGATTTCGATCTGGTGCTATGTGGCCCAAATATCAAAAAACTAATCTGTGGAACATATTTTGTATACTGTAAAATAATGTACATTATATTAAGAGAATGTACATTATTTTTGTATTGAGTGTATATTATATTGTATAATGTATATTCAGTACAAAACTAATGTACGTTCAATATATTAAAAATGTACTTTTTGTTATGATCCATATAACACTGTGTGAACTATGGTCCATCCAATAATTTACCTCAAAAAACTAAAATAGGTACGACACTCAACTATTTAATACAAAAGTATAGTCTAAATATAAATTTTCAATTTATTTTTTTATATTTCTTCAATGCACTTGAACTAATGGCAGAGTTAGGTGCACGCAAGACCCTCTACTGTATGAGACAATGACATGTAAGGAGACCTTCTCATGGTGGAAGAAGAGTAGATTAATAATAAATGTCCGAATTGAGTCAAATAGTTTAAATCTAGTTAATGTCGTATCGGAATAATTGGGTATGTCTTTTTTATGTTGGTTCTATTGTTAGTGATTGTCGTGTTATTTTGAACACTTTAGGTGCATGTCATGTTGTTCACATTAGTCGGTCAGCGAACAAGCTTGTTCACGTTCTTTTTAAAGCAGTTGGTTCTCATGTTAGTATTTGCTCGTGGGAGGGTGAACTCCAACTTTTGTTCATGTTTTCTTGAGTTAATACAGTTGTTTTGGTGTTTGCTTAGAAAAAAAAAAACAAAAAAAAACCATTTGTTACTTGTAGTAACGTCTACAATTAGAAAATCTAGAGAGGCTCACAAAAACAACTCAATTAGTTATTAGTGACAAATTATACATAAAAACACATAATTGATTTCAACCATCAGAATTTAGTGATAAACTATCTGTAAATATTAGATATTAAGACAGAATCACTTATAGCGATAAGTTGTTTGTGAACATCATATGTTCGACTAAGTTATCGTGGTAGGTTCTGATATTGGTATGAGTTAAATATAATTTATCATTTTACTATATGTTGAATTGGAATGTGAGTTCTTTGACCTTTTTATGGACAAGAAAATGCAAAGACGTTAATTGAAACGGATTTGGTAACGGAGGAGTCAAAGAGTCAACGCCAGCCGTTGATGACGGAGCACAAGACAAGAAGCAGAAATTTCTCGGACATAAACGACGGCGTATTACTCGCAGCAACCCGCAATTCCGCATCCACTGTCGTCTTACACACACATATATATACACGCGGCTTGTAGCTCTGCGAGAGAGCTCCAGTGTAGCGTTACTCGAAAGCGAAGAGAGAAGAGGAAGAAGAAGAAGAAGATAGTCCTGAAAAGATCTTGAAAAAGGTATCACATTTCGAGCTGGGATTTGTTAATTATATGCATGTAATCATCGATCGATGTCAGATCTATGTTTCCTCTGCTTTGCATGCACACACACACACACACAGAGCTCGAAAATTCTATCTTGCTTTTAGATGCTGTGATAGTGTGATGATCGATTAAGAGACTTCGTGTTTGTTTTGCTAATCGGAGAGTGGAAATGAAGGTGGACTTGAGGGAAATAAGAGATCCAGTTTTTTTTTGTGTTTACTGTGCTTAGTAGTAGCTTATAGATTAGTGTAATTGAAAAATGTAATAGAAATGGTGGCTTTCGACCTCATTTTGGATCCAGATTCAAAAATGATTGTGTCAATTTACTGGATCATGAGGACACTTGCCCATAAAAGGCGAAATCTTTAGCCTTTAGTATTTGTGGAGGTGCTAAATCACGTTGACTTAGCGACCTATTAGAGGAGGCACCATTAGGTGGGAGGACCCGAGTCGGGTGCCCACAAGTAGCCCACCACACCACATTGGGCCTGACTCCGACTCTGTAACTGTCAGGCTCGATCTTGTGTCCTGGCCCACGATCCGCCACCCAGTAACCAACTAAGTTACCCGTGCGGGCTGTGTTCCACTGTTTATGTTGCTGTTTGCATTATATATTTACCTCAAAATTTGTAATTTCTTCTCAAAAGGATGTCTGTGTTATTTGCATTATAAATTCACTCCTTTTTAAAGACAAAGGGGTTATCTTTTTTAACAACCTTTGATTCTTATAGCTGAAGTATTTAGAAACAGATGCCTGGTGTGGAAATGTCTGTTCATATAAGCACAAAATTGATCTGGATTAAGATTTTGTTTGATTTTTTTTTTTTGTTTTTTTGTTTTTTTTTTGCATATGCAGTTAAAGCTTGAGAATGGAAGGCACTGTATTCACCCCTGCTTTAGAAGCAATGAAACATGTCAAATCTGAGGAGGGAGAAATGCTTACCAAACCTTTCTTGGATGCTTGCAAACTGATATTACCTGTTATAGGTATCAACCTTTATCTCTTTCTTGACAATGTTATGATTTGAGTTTATATACCATTCAATTTGGCAAGCTTAAATCTGTTTTACTGAAATTTTAATTAATTTAGAACTACTATGTCAGCCATCCATTCCTTAATAGCAAAGCTACATTTACCCATCAAGTTAGAAGTATTTAGCCAACTATTTTAATTAATTAATTAATTTTACTGAAATTTTAATTGATTTTGTCTGCATGGGCTTAGCTCAATGGTTCAGTTAGACAATATTTGGGAGAAGAGACCAATGATTGAACCTCTGTGGCTATAGTGTGGGGATTATGCCCAAAGTGGGCAGATCCCTTGTATGCACTGGCATTTGCCTTGTCTATTGAGCCATTGTCCATTAAGTCACCGTGATTTACATCTTCCAAAATGCTCTGTCGGGCCGAGGTGTGGGGAACCCTTGGGGTTGGGGGTTCAACCTTTTGGGAGAAAAGTATTAGCCAACCCCCATTCTTATTCTTTAAGATGTGAGCTAGTTTTCCTTTTATAAGCCCGTCTTAGTAAACATTTGATGTGCGATAGTTATAAATTGGTTTAAATGGGTCATTTCATACTACATATTTAGGAAATGGTTACTTTCTTTAACTTTTATTTTATGTTAATGCCAGAGAAGTTCGGTGCAGCCATGGCACTGGTGAAATCTGATATTGGTGGCAATATAACGGTTAGTTGTATTTCTTTTTGCGGTTAAACTCTGTCCTGGTATACGTTATTACTATTATGTAGTAAGATAATGGTTCTGTTCTAACCCGTTGCAGCTATCTCCCATCAACTATTTGATTCTTTTATGGATTTGTGCAGAGGTTGGAGAACAAGTACTCCACAGACCCTACAAAGTATAAGTGCTTGTACAGCATGGTACAAGAAGAAGTTGAAGCAAAGACGGCAAAAGGCTCATCTAGTTGCACAAATGGGCTTCTTTGGTTGACAAGGTATAATAATTGTTTCCCCAGTTCTGTTTGTGCCTTGTTTTGTTTGATGTTGGATTTTGAGGATTCTAGAGAACTCCATTGATGTGATACTATATTCATCTGAACTCTAATTCAAAGAATTAATTTTTTAAGAGACCCGGCCTTTGACTTCTGTAGGGCAATGGATTTCTTAACGGAATTGTTCCGGAATTTATTAGAGCATGCAGACTGGGCTATGTCACAAGCTTGCTCAGATTCCTACAGCAAGACATTGAAAAAGTTTCATGGCTGGCTTGCTAGTTCAAGCTTTACGGTAATGAACTTAGATTTAAAACAATGAAGATTAACAGCTTATATAAATGTTCTTATGAAAAATAAATAAATACATAAAGCTAGATGGAATACACTCATAACAGCCAGCTTTAAATGGATCTGATACTGTTCTTTTTTAGCATTTAATGAGGGTTAGTTTCTAATACACCCACTCAATTGCCCAAATGCCCTGAATCGAATATTGCAGGTTGCAATGAAGCTTGCTCCCGACAGGAAGAAATTTATGGATGTCATTGGTGGGACTGGTGATATCAATGCTGACATTGAAAAGTTCTGTACAACTTTTTCACCATTTCTCGAGGAGAACCATAAGTTCTTGGTAAGATATCTTGAATCTCATGTCTCATGTTGATGATGGCGAGATTGAAACCGAAACCCATTTTGCTTAATGAAAACTTTGCATTTTTGCTTCTGTACATGCATTTGATCAAAGATCAAATGGTAATTTATCTTCTTTCTCTATCCCGTTGACAGGCCAGCGTTGGAATGGATGATCTTAAAGCTTCCTAATCATCCGAAGGCATAATAACCAGTTATCCAACTCAACAAAGATCCATTCATGTATACTGATCAAACCCCAGAGTCTATGCTTTCTCTTTATGTTATTATACACAATGTCTTGAAAGGCACATTTGGCATTATGCTATTGATAGAGGAAATGTCTTTGAAGTTGAACCCTTGGTGTTATTATATATGGACTATGGAGTACTATTATATTTACCATCACCTTTCATTTGGACAAAAAATGTTTCTTCTTGCCATTTAAATTTTGATTCACTTGCCTTATGGAGGAGGGCAAATTATGTTGTGCAACCGTGTGCACCATGCATGGTGCACATTGTTCTATGTTTATAATTATTGAACTATATATTCATAATTATAAAGCTATATATTCATAAATTTTGAACTTCATATTCATAATTATTGAATTCTACTATATTCACAATTACAGAACTCTATGTTCATATTTTCAATTGTTGAACTCTGTATTCACAAATTACAGAACTGTATGTTCATAATTTGATAACTATACAGTTTAGAAATTATGAATCTATAGTACAGAAATTATGAATCTACAGTACATATATTATGAATTTACTGTATTTAAATTATGAATTTACGGTTTAGAAATTATGAATCTATAGTATAGATTTTATGAATCTATAGTATATAAATTATGAATTGGAATCGTGTGCATCTTGTATGGTGTACACAGTTGCGCAACATAACATTCTGTTAGGGAGGCGTTGGGCTGTCAAAATGGGCCGGCAAAGTGGGCCAAAAAAGCCCGTTCTTTGGCGGGCCTAGGTTTTGTTGGCCAGGAGAAGAGATATATGAAGCTTGGCCTGACTTTCTTGGTTTGAGTTAGGTCATGTGAGTCCAATATATAAGATGATAGGATAACTCCAATCAGATTGATTAGATAGTTGACTTGGTAATTACAACATTTCATATTTTCTAAGTTTGGAATTTGATGGAAGTTATCTATTAACATTCTTTGTTTAAGCCCGTCAACAGAGGAGTTTCATCAGAGTGTATTTTTGAATAGCAACAAAAAATTAGAAATATATATGATGGACCATTATATTGGACCCTGCATGGCCTATATATATATAATAATAATCAGCATTATTTTATTGGAATAATTAGCTTAGTGAATTAATTATTATAATTATTCTCCTAAAAGTTCGATCCAGTTGTAGTGTAGAGGACTAATGTTAGGCAAGAATAATGCATGGCCATTGAAATTGAGAAAGGGTGCTTTAACATGATTGTGGGTGGCATCATATCCTTGGAGAAGATCAGATGATCTGAGTCAAATCTAACTCGATCTGGGAGCTGAGGTTTGGGTCCGGCAGATATATTCCATTTCTTTCCAAATCGCTGCTGCATGCTGTGCATTCTCCCTCCGTGCACGGTGCATGCATCATATCCGGATTCAAACCCCCTTCCCGCCGCTGCACCCTTCCATGCCCTTCATTTCACGTTCCCTAATCTCATCATCATCAAATTAAAGGTATCTCTTTCTAATATAATCTGGGTTTCTGTTTCTACACCTTCAATTCATCGTCATTCATTCATGCCTGTTATGATATATATGAATTGAAATTATATAATTGTTCTTTTGTAATCTGATGATGCATGTGTCTGTCAGATCGAGTAGATCAATCAATAAAACATAATCTGATAATCATTCAGTCGGATAATTAGCACAAAGATGAAGGGCATTTTCAAGAGTCTTAGGTACATTTCTCAGATATTTGGTGAGTAACTTCATACCCATCTATCCATTTCTATCGGCTCATATATATATGATATCTGATTGTATATATATATATAACATTATGAAAACACGGTTTATATTGTATTTGATACAATCATATATACAATGATATATGCAGATGAAGAGAAAGAAGAAGAGATTCAGATTGGTGGACCTACAGATGTAAAGCATGTTGCTCATATTGGATGGGATGGTGGTGAATCTACTGCTGATAATAACCCAAGCTGGGTACTTTAATTTTGTCGTTTAAATCTTCATCTATTTTTCTAGACTTTTAATTGAGACTGAACATATCTTTTTGATTTTGTTTGAATATTTGAGCAGATGAAAGATTTCAAAGGGTCAGCAGGGGTTCAGTCTGATGACTCCAAAGACAATTCAGAGATTGGTTTGTTTTTTATTTATGGAATTTTTCTCTTCATATATTTAGTATCTAATTTTTGTATTCTTGAGTGACGAAGAAAACTCACAGCTACTACAATAAATATAAATTGGATAAAATTTGTCATGTGACTTTAACCAACATCACAAAGAAAGTAAATCAGTTAATTTTTTTTTTTTTTTTTTTTTGAAAAAGAAAAATCAATTAAGTTATCCTAAGCTCGAATAAAAAAGATTAAATCACTCTTATCGAGAGTGTAATCTTGTGATTACACAAGTAAACATCTTATTGAATTCTCAACTCCAAATACCTTTTCCTAAAGGTTGAATCCTCAACTTTAAGATTCCATCGTTTCGACCGGCCAAAACATATGTTAATCATGGTAATATTCAGAGGCTAATCCCTCACTCTGGCTGGTGAGACTGGTCATTCTTTTCAAACTTTACCATTATGACTAACTGAATTGTTCATGCGGACTTATTTTTGTAAAATGGATTGTAGATTCAAACCGAAGAGGCACTGACAAAGATCCCGACTTACCAAAGTCATCAAGGCGCCAGTCTGAGAATCCTGATTCCCCCAAGTCCAAGAACAAACCATCCAGGCGAAACCGTTCCAAGGACGCCGATTCTGCTGCCGCCGCCGGCGACCTCCCGGACATCCCCAAGAAGTCGCGGCGGAAGAAGTCCAAGGACAGCGTCGGCGGCGATGGCTCCGCCCGATCCACGAGATCATCCAAACGCAACGCTGCCGCACAGGACTCTGATCGCGAAGCCTCAGTCAAATCAGCGTACAGTGACTTCGAATTCGGCGACGGCTCCGCCAGATGAACCAAAGCCGCCTCGGAGTCCTCCGCCCCGGCGGACGCCACAAGCACTTGGTAATATAATTAGAGTAACACTTGTGTGAAACCGTCTCACCGTTTCAATTTTATAAGATTGGTCAAATATTTGATTAATAGGTAAAAAATTTGACTAATGAATCAAATCTTTAACCTCATTAGTCATTAATAAAAAATCCGACTAGGTCTCACACAAGTTTTTGCCATATAATTAATGTAAATATAATGAATACTTCATAACAGTGAGCTTTAATTTGTTGCCCATCCAAGCCCTCCCTGCATCAGAGGAATTGAAGGAAGACAGTGAATTCAGCCTTGGATTCGCCAACTTGTTTGTTAATTTTTATTTTTAGTTTTTTAGTGACTTGGATCAAGTGATACTTTAATTTTGACACCAAATTTTTCTATTATAATAGAATTTTGTACACCTTTGATACTGACGACGGATTTCCTCGTTACTCAAAAAATTAATAGAATCTTGTATAGTGTTAAAAATACATCAACAACATTATTCATGTTAATTATATACGAAAAATTCTATTTACACCATTCTATTTACTATTTACACCACCTATTTAATAAGTGTAGTAATTTTATAAGTTGTGCAAATACAAAAGTGCTATTTGCACCACCTCATTAAATACAGTCAAACATTAATATTTATGATTTATTTTTATTTAATAATCAAATTACTATTAAAAAAAAAAACTTCTCCGGTGAGAAGGCAGCCCAGTGGGTCACCTTCTCTGCGGAGAAGGCAACCCAGGTTGCCCTCTTCGGTGAGAAGGCAACCTACTGGATGGGTGCCTTCTCACCGGAAAAGACAAGGTTCTTCGTTTTTTTTTTTTTTTTTTAAATATTGTTTCCTTTTTTAATATTTTAGTTAATTAATGTTTTAATGAGGTTTGATCAAGGTGGTGCAAATAACAATTTGAACACCACTTTGACTATTTGCACAACTTATGTAATCATTGAAATTTTTTAACTTTTTACATTTTCAAAGTATTTTATACTGCATTTTAATTAAAGGGTGGTACAAATAACAACACCTTTATATACTAAACTCTCATTTTATTGAAAACTGTTATAGCAGTTGAAGTTTACATGACAACAGTTATGTCTATATACTATATATGCTTTTGAGTAAATGAAATTTACAAACAATAAAGTGTACAATAATAATAATATATATGTATTACATTTTTTAATATAAGTATTACGTTATTATCTCAACCCGACCTGTCTCATGAACAAGAATTTATGAGACTGTCTTACATAAGCAAGGATTCATGAGATGGTCATGGTCGCACGAATAAATATATATGAGACAGTCTAGACAAGTTTTTGCCTATTATTTTATATTAATTAATGTATTTATTTTACGCACAATTAGAGAGCTTTAATTACTTTTGAGTTGGAATTCGATGTGTTTTAACGAACACATACATAGAGAGATACATTTTTACACGATCGGAATGACTGTACACCATGACGTATTGGTCTTCAAACTTTTGAGAAACATCAAAGAGTTGGACACGTATCTTTTTAATTTGTTGATATGGTGGATAGATGATGCTATGTCGATCTAGATCAGATACTTGGGGTTCTTTTGTCTCAATTCCTTTTTATGTTAAAAAAAATAAAAAGTAATTATTTATGTGCAATTTAAACCCTTCTAGTGATGGACAACTTATAACTCATGACAATTTAGAGTTTTGAGGTCAAATGACATATGATCAAAATGTAGGACTTTTATGCAGTATCTTCAAATGGTCAAGCATTCTTAAATATACAATTGTAATTATTATCACACTTTTAAATTTAATTTTCATATCTTGATTTTTTAAATGAACGAATTGGATAAATCTTTCTTTCTCTCTCACACACACACATATATCTTCAATGTATAGTTTCAAACTCAAGACTATAAATAGAGTTTGATGGCTTCAAGCGAAGTAGAGAAAATCAAGTATTTAATTTTAAAAGATTTTATCATTCTAATCATAAAAAAATATCTAATCTAGTTGCACAACAAGTTTTAGCTAGATCAGACTCAAAGGCATTCAAATTATGTCAAGATCATTGAGTTTAACATCAGTTGAAGAACAGACAAATTTTTAGCTAAATCTTCTTAGAAGGATTCTCTACTTGTGGTAATACTTGTAGAAAGAGGTAGATCAGAGTAGCAAGAAGAGTGTTCCTTATGAAAGTGCTAACAATATTAAGGCTACCTTGTCATTCAAAACATAAAATTGGTTTGCTTTTTATTGGGTTGGAATACATGGTAAATTCTTCCTACGTGAAATAAAGGAGATAAGACTAGATTAGAAATGGAGTTAATACCCGGCCAATATCCCTCGAGTATAGTGGTTCCGCTACCTATGGTCCTAAACTTTCAAATCAACCTTCCGTGATCTTCTATGTTTCAAAATTGACCTGCTATAGTCCTTCCGTTAGTAAGCTCCGTCTCAGCCGTCAAATGTAAGGGCATAAATGACTTTTCATGTTTTCTCACCCAAATGAATTCATTTGCTCTGCTATATCCACTTTTCAAAATTTTATGCTGTCATTTTTCATGTTTTGCAAGCTCTTGATGACCCAAAGAGAGTTGTTCGTCAAGAAGCAGTCAGATGTCGACATGCTTGGTTAGAAATCGAGGGTAGATAGGGAAAGAAACGACTCCGCTTCGGGTTCCTCGTTGAAGAACAACACCGATTTGGGAGATCATTGGTTGTTGTGGGACTCTTTCGCCGGAGTTGTAGCTGGAATCTACCGGTTGCGGCTTGCGCTCCTCCGATGGAGCCTCGACGGCGGCGGTTGGAGCGGAGAAGTTGGTCAGTGTCGTTACAGCGCCGTCGGGAGGTTGAAGACGATGATTCTCATGGAGAATTTCTTCTTCGGTCTGATTCCTGAAGAACTTGGCGAATGCAAACCGTTAACCGTATTGGACCTTTCCTACAATGATTTCACCGGCCGGAGACCCGCCAACGGACAGCTAAGGCTCTTCGGCGACCGGTTTTTCACTAGAAATCCAAGCCTCTGTTCACCTCGCAGCCCTTCACCGCCATCAACCGCATCAACACCACCATCAACCACTACCGTTCCACCCTCGCCTCCCTTCCCCCCAACCTCCCCTGCCACTGAATCCACCCCTCTCGACCGTCTCCCTTCAACATTTACCCATCAATCTTCCGATCTATGACCATAACGACCGCAGGTCGCACAGTATACCGAAATCTTCTCCAGCTCAATTTGTTGCCAGAAACCGCCGGACACACCTCCTCCACCCACAATCTCCACCCAAATTCGATCTATTACAGGTTTAGTCACGTCAATTCAACCCTTGCATTGGCCACATTTGGCTTCGATCTCCTGAGAGTCGCGGCATCTAGGGTTACTACCTTCCCCACCGGTTCACAAATACTAGAAATCATACGCAAATTGAACAGATGGAAAGGCAAATTTAGTAACTGAATCTATACAAGAGCATAGGAGAATCTCTGTTAGCATTCCTCTCAATGCCAAACAGTAAAAGCAAGAAAATGAAGCTGGGAAGATGAGAAAAGCAACAAGGATTTGGAAAAAATGTGAAAATAAAGCCATTTATGCCCTTACATTTGACGGCTGAGACGGAGCTTACTAACGGAAGGACTATGGCAGGTCAATTTTGAAACATAGAGGATAACGGAAGGTTCATTTGAAAGTTTAGGACCATAGTTGGCGGAACCACTATACTCGAGGGACCTTGGCTGGTATTAACTCATTAGAAATGTTACACAACCTTTGAACCACTAAAAACACTCTCTCTCTATCTATCTCTTATATTACACGTAATTTAAATTTCGATTCCTCAATTATTTTCCAACTGGCGATTTTCACATTTTTAAAATTTCATCAATTTCGTCCCTGAAAGGATTCAATTGACAAAATTTTAAACAATTTGAGAATTAAATTGGTTGAAATTGAAAGCTAGGAACTACATTGACAATTGCAGGGAAACAATTGAGGACCAAAATATTAATTTCTCCTATTTTCTAAAAAGTTTTAAAAGTATGTTCACCACGTTCTAATTTAAAATTTTATTCGTGATCAATAATTTTTATTTTATCTTGAAATTTGAGTTCTAATAATTAGTTTTTATATTTTGAATATCATTTGAATGTATTACTTAGCTTTCAAGTTTCCCTTCTTTTTTGTTTTTTTTTTGTTTTTGTTTTTGTTTTTGTTTTTTTTTTTTTGTTTTTTGTTTTTTGTTTTTTGTTTTTTGTTTTTTTTTTTTTTTGTTTTTTGTTTTTATGTTTTGTTTTTTTTTTTTTCAAGTTTCCTAATCTTAGTCTTACCCTATATAATACTTAATTACCTGGCCTACAGTTGGAGGACCGTATAGTACCCTTTCATCATATTCATATCACATTTGTAGCATGGCTTGTTAAAATTCAAATTCTTGGCTCAAGATCCTACGACAGTGTGTTTCTTGGCCAACTTTCTTCATCTTCATCAACTGATTCGCCAGTGTTCGCCGTGAAGTCTTCAAAGCGATAGTCTTCAAGTTCACTTAGGGTGGAAGGGTGAATTTTGAATGCACTCCGAGAATGTCCCTATATCGTCCAATGTTTCGGAGATGACACCAGCTCGAACATGAAAAGGTTGTAGACAACCTTTTACTCGAGTATACTCCGGGTGGGTCACTCGAGGGTCTGATCAAGTCTCGTGTCACCGAAAACATCCTGGAATTCAAGGTTTCGTTCTACGCTTATCAACTTCTGAAGGGCATACTGGACGTGCACGGGTGGGGGTTGGTTTACTACGATTTGAAACCTGCCAATGTTCTTGTGTTTCTGTGTGGGTTCGGGGTGAATCATCTCAAGGTCGCGGATTTTGGGATGGGTAAGGTCGCCGGAGTAAACATTTTTAGGAATTGTCACCGGGGGTCTTTGCTGTACACCTCGGCGGAATCTTTGATTTCCGGGATACACGAGGCGCCCAAGGATATATGGACTATAGGGTGAATGGTGGTTGAGATGTTCACCGAAAATCCAGCGTGGAGGAGTAATGACTATCCCTTTTGGGGTTAGAAGAATTCTACATGTTGGAAAGCAAATAAAATGAAGAATCACTTGAACAAAGTGTAACACCATTTCTAGATCGGGAGAAATTAACATGTGACCACATAGTGAGAAGCTGGAGAGGTGCTTTGACAGATAGCCCACTAAGAGATGAGGCTGGATGGGGCGACAATTCCCGAAGGGGCCGAATCAGAAGGTGGGCTCGAAGCACTTCGGCAACAAGTACTAGCTTGGCGAGAAGGTTGGGAGAGGGCATTTCGGGTATACTTGTAGAGCGAAGTTTAAGAAGTGTGAGCTCAAGGGTTAAGAGGTTGTTGTTAAGGTCATCCCCAAAGTAAAGGGAATTTGTCAGTGGCTTATAATTTGAATTCGTTTTCAATTTGATCCTGTTTTCGATGAGGGAAAATGATGTTGGCTTATAATTTGAATTCGTTTTCAATTTTATCCTGTTTTCGATGAGGGAAAATGATGTTAATTCAGGTTGTTTGCTCTGATACCATGTTATAATTTAGGGGTTGTTTGCTCTGATACCATGTTATAATTTAAGATTGGGTTAAGGACACTCAACTGGGCTATAATGCACATGGGTTAAACCACACTAAAAGATTAAATTCAACCAATTAGTAAGTCAAACTCATGGCCTTATGAACCCATATGTTATCTCTTATTTTATCAATGTGGGACTCTTAACACTACTCTCAAGTAAACAACCGGGTCATTTTGAATCTAACTGCAGGTTGACCCCTTGAAATTGGACTGAACCTCCCATAAAACAAAAGCTCTGGACGCCACCAAAGTGAACCGAGCAGGCTCTGATATCATGTCAAATGGAGAACTCCATATTATTTCACTTATTTCTATCAAAAGAATACACAAATTTATACAAGAAAATACATACTAACTAAGGTAAGAACCGAAAATAAATCTCTAAGAATATACATAGAATTCCTAAGATCATGCTGAATATAATCTTACCATATAATGTCTAACCTTGATCATTATAAGAATGAATACTTTAAATTTTCACTTCTTCCTCCTTCTTTTCTCTGCTATCTTCTTAACATCCTGCAAATTTCTCTTCCCCCTTTCAACTATGACACTTTTCTCTCACAATGCCAGGGAGCTTCTCGATTCAATCGATGTTTTTTTCTTTGAGGGCACTCGTTGCTGTGAAATTTGATTGGCTTATCAATGTGTAGTTGAAAACTTAAGGGTATGTTTACTAACGGAAAATTGTTATCTGTTCTCTGTTCTCAGTTTTCTATTCAGAAAACTTGTTTACTAACAATTATTTTTTCGATTTTTTTTTTTTTAGATTAAGGTTATAAAATTAACACAAGTTTAATTTTGAGTGATTTTTAAATCTTATATTATTTAAAATATTTTTACATATGTTTGGTTTAAATGGAATAAATTTAAGTTTTTTTTTTTTTTCTTTTAAGTCTAATATGAAAACTATGTAGCGTTATGAGAGGCAGTCAGGCCAATTAGTGAACAAAAATAAGAGTGATTTCTTTTTCTGTATGTATGTATGCGTATAAAATTCTCAAAGTATGCATTGTGTTAATACTCTTCTGAAGAACAATTTTTATACATTTTTCTATTGACATAGAATGAGGTTTATGCATTTATTTTAATTTACTATTTTTCTGGGAATTAATGCAAGTTCCTTGAATTCTAACTAAAAAAAGAATTAATATGATAAAACACCAAGAAATACAAGAAACACTTACTGCAAGAAGACAATTACATAACTTAAGAAGGGAGCTATACTTCGCAGATGCTGCGGTAATTTTCTTAAACACTTGCTCTGGTGGGTGTTTGTAATTGCTTTCCTAATTTTATTTTGCTTTTCCTAGCTTTTGTTTTCATATTATTATTTGTATATCTTGTTTCCCATTGCGTACTTGTTATCATGAATGAAGAGCAATGATGAATTTCATGCATTTATTTATTTAAAAAAAGAAAAAAAAAAGGTAATATAGGTAAGATTTTTACATTTTATAACTGAACAAAATTTATATATGTATATAACACAATAACTAAAAAGAAATATATCTGAACCAATAACCTACTAAGTTCACTTAAAATTTAGTTTAGATAATATTACTAGTAATATTTTTTGAGCTAATATTTAAAATATTTGTTGGATATATTCATTTGAATGACATGTATATGAATATATAACTTTTACTTTGAATTCTAATATATGTGAGATTTCAATATTCTATATCTGGACCGAACTTGTATTACGATGTAACATAATTAAAAATATTCGAACTAATAATCTATTGAGTTCAATCAAAATCTAAAACATTATATAGAGTTTAATTCTTAATTTTGATAATGTAAATAATGTCTAACTTTAAAGTGTAAGCAAATAAGCTATGTTTAAATAAGTAAAGTAAGTAGAAACGATAGAAGATCGTGATAAGTAAAATAAGATGATAATGAATGTAATTATAGTAATGTGGTTATAGTGACATATAACTAAATAAATGATAGATGACTTTGTTTTCCATTTAGAGAACAGTTTTTAAGAGTGTTCCAATTTTCCAGAAATTATTTTCAGTTTTCAAAATGGAAAACTGTACTATTAAATATGTTTTCTGTTTTCTATTTTCCAGTTTCCAAAAATTTCCAGTTAGTAAACGGCCCATAAAAGTTTCACAGTTTACCAAGTAATTTGAAAGATATCAGCTTATCGGCTTTACAGGGCTTATCAGTTTGGCTTTACAAGACCTGCAAAAATGGTTGCAGTAGGCGCTAGGCACTAGTGGGGTGCCCGGCAGCGCCTAGGCGGAATCTAGGCGGGCGCCAAGAAAACAATGCAGACTTGCAGTTTGACAATTTTAATGAGGCTGTTTTCAGCATTCAATCAAATAACACATCCAAATAAATAAAATAATGATAATTCATAAGTCATAACAACAAAACAATATTAAAAATTAAAAATATGAAAATACTTAAATACTTCAATCATCCAAAGATTCAAAGTATCAAACTAGCCTACTGGTATATATATATATATATATATCAAAATGGACGAGTTAACTCGGCTAAGTTAGACGCTAGTCGGCCGAGTTCACTAGGCGGATGCCTAGGCAGCCACCAATTTTTGCAACAGTGCCTGCAACACATGATCTCTTCCATATTTAGTTTGGCCATTGCAATTTTTTCTTCTTCCCCTTTTGTTTTCCTTTTTGACTTCACATAATTTTCTTGTTAATCCCCTTTACAGTTGATGTTTTATAGTTATGTATGTATGGTAACATGCATGCACATGAGTACATCCATGATATTTTATAAGTTGATATGTACTTGGACCTGGCCTGTTCAAAATATTTATATCAACAAATTTGTTTGATAAAAATAAAAATTAATTCTAAGTTCGTATAGTAGAAGTGAGTTGTTCAAAGTGGCTCAAGCATATTTTATAGTCAATTGTTGAGCCAATACTTATCTCCATAATAGTTTATGTGGGATATAAAAGATGACTGGTTTGAGTGTGAAAAAAGTTAAGAGTGTTTGACATTAAATAATGATTAAAGATTTAATGTGGGGAGTTGTATAGGTTAGTTTGAAGTGTGTGCAAAGCTTAAATTTGGTTACATAAAAATTGCCCACAAGCTGCTAAGTGTAGAAGTTGTTATGAACTTCCTTTTAAGTTATGTCTATATACTATGCTCTTGAGTAAATGAAATTTATGTATTTAAAAATGCAAGTACACATTGCATTTTGCAAACTTGATTTTCGTAAAGTATACTTTTCATGTAAAGTGCTTATTAAACTTCAAAGTTATTTCCTCAAAAATTGGTCATGGTACACTGTACTATTAAACCAGACAACACGAGCTGATGCAACATTAACACGATATTCTACAAAATTCTCTTTCATTTACAGGTTGCCTAAATCTCCGAGCTGATACTGTTGCTCCAACCTAATCCTTGTACGCAAACTATCCAGCATGCTGATTATCTGCTCGATCTCCATCTGCAACATGGCCATTCGGATGCATTATTAAACTAAAACAAATAAGAGGTGATCACAAGAATCAATATGTTTGCATTTTAGAAGGTCGTGCTGTACCTTTATACGTAATGCAACAAGAGATCAGCTGAAGTATTCCTCAATCTACAGCTTTGTCCCAGGTGAACATCCCCAAAAACATATCTGAATTATCTTAAATAGTTAATAACGACAACAATATATGAATTATCTTTTTTTACCTTAAGCATTATTGTACAAAAAATTATTATGTATTACCTGTATTCACAGTGCGCTGACCATGCACATCGAGCCTTTCCATAATCCCAGTAGCAGTCAGCATCTCTCAGAGGCCCCCGCTTTTCTGTTGCATAATATTTACAATTTCACAAGGGAATTTTTTTTAGGGTGGCTGGGGAGAGATGACAGGAAGCGGATGGAGAAGAGACCCACACACCTTTTGTGACAAATTGTGATTTCTTATCAGGTTGAGAATCATGCCACATTTCAAGCCACAGCTCCCGCATCAAAACCGGGGATCTAACAATATTTCTGTGATTTGCTGCTCAAAGAAGTTAAGAGTACCACAATTAGAGGACTGAAGAGGCTAAAGAAGAACTAAAGAGACTGTTCATTAAAGGTTAATGATTTATTTCATTCTCTTTAAAAGGATATCTAAACAGCCCATGAAATGCCACTCTCATATTGTCTTGTCTTGAATAATAAAGTGAAAACTTGAAGTTCACAGAAATTTATTCAAACACTGCAAGGAAATTAAATTACTTTTACCTTTATCAAGCTCCCAAACTGCTGTCCTCCTCCCAGGAATACTTTCAGAATCTTCAAAATAGGTTATGTACTTCACCTTTTTAGACCTTGTCATATTGGTAATGATATCTTCACCATGCTGATGTTCTACATTCATATGCATTTGTACATCTTCCCCATTATGCTCCGACTAAAATTATAAAGAGAGACATGGATACAACAGAAATAGTTATAGCTTCTGAAGCATTTCATGCTGAAACCACTGATAAACAATTGAATGAAAGACAATATATAGTCAAAGAAGTAAAACAGCTGAAGAAGCAGATACAGACTATTAAATTATGGCATTGCTAGAATGTCCCAAGGGCAATTGTAACATTACTCAATACAAAATCACAGTACAGAGTATATTAGTTACAAATTCATGCCAGAAAGGTAGAAACACATGATTCACTAATTCACTCTTTCCCTATGCATTGTGTTTACAAAAATGTTGATTTTAGACTTTGCAATATTGACATTTTCCATAACCACTATTATAAAGGCAGCATTTAGCATTTGCATGAAAACAAATGGCATTACCAACTGGCATGCGAAAAGAAATTAAAAAGAAGATTCTAATCATTCTATTGTTGGCTATTGTTGAAACCAGGGGAATATGAGGATTCTTGATATTGAAAGACCATGCAAGACTACCTGAGGAGCCCTTGTCACATTCACTCTTGGACCCAGCCAATTCTTGCACCAAGAGAGGGAATGATATGGTACCTACAAAATTTCCTCTTAACAAAAGTAATTCCTGGCACAGTTTTTTTTTTTTTTTTTTTTTTTTTAATAGTAGAGCAACAAGAATATGAGGTTTTTAATCTTACTGTCTCATCCCCACTAGCTGCACTAGGGTTCCCTTCAATCAGATTACCAGACCTAAAATAATCCCAAAGTAAGTCCAGGTTATCCAGCATATAATGTTAAGTATAACATATTCAGGATATTCATTAAATCACTATTTGAGAAGAAAGTTACCTAGAACGTAGAGAACCCTCAGCCTCGTATATCACATCTGTTATAATCCAATTATCAGGATAAGGCTTCCCACTTGGTGCAAAGTAATAACCAACCTATGTTGTCAGGAGAGAAGATAAATATATGATTCACCAAAATAGGGTTCAGCATGAATGTGTCACAACTTAAATTGAAGCATGACAACTTCAGTTACATGCTTGTATACTTATATCCGTTGTAAATATTACAGACTAGAAGTGTTGATAAGAGGTATAAATTACATGCTGAACTATATGAGTTGCTGCTAAATAAATCGAGATGATGTTGGTCAGATCAGTACGGCATCAATATAAGAAACATGACAGAGTGTGTTGGTTCCATCAACAACATGAGCTATAAACATTTGTAAATACACTTACTAACAACAGTGTGGGCAAGATTTAAGTTATAAACAATTTACTATCAGCATTAATTCAGAAATTTATTAAACAGATAGGCAACCACTTACTGCCAAGTAGAGCAGAAGAAATACCTCAGTTTTTAACTCAATTCCGTAAATGCAGAATATGTTCTTAAGAGGTGGTCTTTCCCATGGTGTTAAAGGATTTAGGACTGGATCACCGTGATATGAACTGAAAATGCACAAAGAAATAAAGGGAGCTAAAAAATTAATCACATTATTTCAGCAAACTACATAAATTCGAACATAATTTCAGCAACTTGAGACAAAGAATGGAAACTGCTTTTAAAAGGAATTAAAGGGGATGTTAATTCCATATTGGTGTAAAGTACATTAAATGGTGGGCACACAAAGAAATACAAGAAAAATTTTGGTAGGAATAACCAAAAAAGGTCTGTCACTGCTGTGTCTAGGTGGTCCATAGCCAATCACTTCCATGTCCAAGAATCAAGTATTGTTTGTTCTCCATCCCCAAACAAAATTTAATAGAACACTCTATTTTCCAAGATCCAGCATCTCAAAGAAAAATGAAGGGGAAAAAAAGAAAGAAAAAAAGAAAGAAGAAGAAGAAGAAGAAGAAGAAGAAGAAGAAGAGAAGAGGCTTCTTAGCTTTCTGAGTTCTGGAAGGTGAACAAGGTTAAAATTTGAAAGAAAAAACAATGTTCTTTTAAGTACACAATATGAGAATATAGAATGATATAATAGAAATCACTGGAAACTCACTTTTTTAACACGTGTAAGAGCCTTTGGCTATCAGGATCATAATCTTTTATTGCTTTGAAAAATTTTCCATCTGCCACTTCACGAGCAGAAAAAGACAACACAGTTGGTAATCCACATTCCCTGTCAGACGAATTTGTTTGTACAATTTCCGGAAATGATGGGTAAGCTTCATATCCTGCCTGATCTGCCAAGACATAAAAAGACCTATAAGAAGAGTCGAACATCAGAAACACATTATGCATGTAGAGTAAAAGTTGATACCTTTATTTGCAGGAATTTCAATATTGACTATATTTGTTGGCCAACCAGAGTGGTTTACTTGAAACTCATGCTCATCACAATGGAATACATGATGACCTTTTCTGCTTCTGCCAGAAAGGTGCCTCGAGTATACAGTATCTGCTCTACAGTATTTTGAAAATGGCATCATCCACAATGAAGAGCCAAACGAACTGGACATCAATCGAGCCGTTCCCTGATAACTTGTTATGATAAATTAGTAAAGACATTAAATAGAAGGGGCAGATATATTGGACTACTGGCTTCATGAAATAGAATCGGTCTGAGAAGTTTCCAAGAAATCATTTCTCAAATCAACTGGGTAGTGCAGAGAATTTCATGGTGGAGAGATTATATGGCTTACTCAGTAAAAATTATGTTATGAGTCATAACAATCTTCAAAAATTTTAGTAATGCAATGAATTGAAGATGAGAACTCAAAAGGGATGTGTTTCCTTCACACTTATTGTCTTTCCACAGTCTCAAAATGTTCTAAAGGCAAAGTCAATGTTGCAAAAAACAAAAACAAAAACAAAAAAAACAAACAAACAAAACAAAAGTCAATGTTGCAATTTTCAACTTCTTACTTGAGTATGTATGAGTAAATACACTTGTATATAAAAGTTTTACTCATTTATTCCTATAGAGTACAGTTGAAAATAAAGTCAAACCTCAGAAATGGGAAGACCAAATGTGACTCCAGAGAGTGTCGCTTTGACTGCCTCACTTGAACCAAGAAAAGGTGATCCTGAAACCAAAGGGAGGCATAAATTCCAGCCAAATTGTAAGTTTATCCTTCAAACTTACATCAAAAGTTTAAATGAATCTCATGGCAACGTAAGGTCAACAGCATACCAACAGCAAAATAGGCATGAATATGGTTGTCCAGCCACTGGTTATACATTTTAGGGGCAACTTCTAGTTTTAGCCACTCCAAAAAGTATCTGAAAACGTTGTTACCTAATGAATGAGCAAAAACTATTGACGGTCCACCACGATGTTTAAGAGCAGTTTCAAAAGTCAGCCTGCAGGAAAGATAAAACAATTAAAACATCTAATTTACTTTCATAGATTAGAGTCAGTCAACAATAAAAGCATTTTCATAATATTAATGAAGGTTTTCTAATATGAAAATAAAAGCAACTAAAATGCAAAATATTTTCTCAAGATTAAAAAAAAAAAAGATCCTCTTTGGGATTAAAAAAACTCTATATCAGAATACCACGTGTTGCAAGGCATCTCCAAAAGAATAGAAGAATGGAAGAAAATGCAATTCCCTATGTCTATGACTGGATTTTGAAGCAGTAAAACTTTTTCACATTCAAGACAGATACTATACACCAATCACCCTCCCCCACTTTCACCATCCCAAAAAATAAAAATGATATCTCCACTTTCTATATGGAGGAAGAAATCTGTAACTTCATTCAAGTCATTACATATTAAATGACGAATATGAAATCAGAGTTATGAAGAAAGACACAAAATAGTCACATTCAATGAGTATCTCTGAAAAAGGGTACAAACTTTAGTTTATGAAAGTAAAGGTCTCTCTCCTCGAGTTTCGAAGGTTGCAATCTCCAGTCATATGGAACTGCAATAATTGCATGAGCCTCAACACCAAATTCAATGCACCACTTTACCCATTCTTTCCACACTGATGAAAGTGGACCTGAAGAAAATGGAATTATTATTCAAGTATAAAACGAAAACCATTTAAATGGAAAGCCAAATAGTTCCACTGGAGAAGAGATTCATTTCTTCAGTTTGACAATTGTACATTTTACAACAAGACAGTAAAGGGTAAACTCTCTCTTTATACGTGTGCCTTTATGAACGCTTGCTTACTTCGCCAAAACAAGTAATCGAGTAGTTTACAATTTAAGTTTTAACATATTGGATGTATTTTCAGTGGATAGAAACAAGGACATGCAAAAGAAACACGCAAATATACCAGTTATATAACCAGGATCAAGCTCGGCTATAGCAGAAAGGCCAGTGTCAGGACGAGACTTGCACTCTGGATGATCTGTTTGGTTGTAAGGATCTAACAACATGCATTTAAGCCAGCAATTCACAGCAGAAAGAAGCTGCAAAGAGTGATAACCAGTTATCATAATGCTTAATTGAGAAGAAACTTGAGACGTGAAGCATAATCCTACATGTATAGTCATATATCACTTTATCATAATCCTACGTGAAGCAAATCTACCAGAATAGCATCATGATGAAACTTCACAAACATAAAATGCAGTAAAGAGTATAATTATATATATAGTGATATATCACTTTAGTTCATCAAACGCGACACTCGAACAGTGTCCGGAACTAAAATCAAACAAGTGCTAAAATTCAAAGTTTCACGAGCTGTAATTCACGAGAAAACGCAGAGAACAAAACGCAAGTGCAGCGATGAAATTACTTACTTTCGGCAAATACTTATGCGCGAAGTACTAAAATAAATTAAAATAAGAAAACGAGACAGAACGGAGAAATGTCAGTGACTAAATTGAATTAAATAATCGAGAAACACTGCAAGTAACACGAAACGAAATGCGCATTACTTTGGTGGTGTCGAGCCACACCAAATCGAGAGGATTGAAATCGAGAGGCGAGTAGGGACAGTCCAGTATTGACCAAGCTCTGAGTTGAGTTGACGCGAAGCCGGGGATGATGATTCCGGACAACTTCGAGGAGCCTCCGAGCTCTTCTCCTCCGTTCGCCGTAGCTACAAGGAGGAACGCCACCGCCAGTCCGACGTATTCTCCTCTCATTGCGGAAGTTCTTGCAGACGTAAAAGAGTTAGCGAAGTCGTTGATGGCCGCCAGGTAGGTGTGGCGAAGAAAAAACTACTCCGTCTGGTCACTGGTGGAAAGTGGAGAGGCAAATGGCAAATATAATTTGGGATTTTGGACAGAGATGTTGAAATACCATAACTGCCCATCGTTTAACCGCTTATCGCATTTTGCGGACGCCCCAACCCCCAATAGTTGGTTCGGTAGACTATGCCGTTTTCTTGTTTTCTTTTTCTTGCCCCTCTTTCTAGTTTTTCCTTCTAGGCTTTCCAAAAAAAGGTGGAATACTTTGAATTTTTATTTTCCCGGTCAATGTTCTAGAGATTATAAGTTATAACATACAATTGTGAACTAATGAGCTAACTTTCTTTCATGTTAATTAAGACGGTAAAATAATTAATTTTGACTTATTTAATCACTATTAATTGTTTAACTTGTTAAAAAATAATATAAGCGTATAATTAATTAGCTTTTTGTAACTTTAAAATACTAAGATTCAAAAAGATGTTCAAAACAATTTTTTTCAATTAGCTTTTTGAGAAAAGAAATTATATCAAACAACTCTCGATTAACAGCTAATTTACCAAACATCTTTTTACAATTAGCTAATGTTATCAACTAATTATACCATCTAATTAACTCAATTAGCTAACAGTCATTTACCAAACAGGACCTTAGTATTTACCATTAGTCAAATTATACATTGGAATCATGATTTACATTATAATGTAAATCATGGATAAACGTTCATTTTTAATATACTAACTATTCATTATTTATTAGTATACAAAATAATAAATTTTCAGTATACAAAAAATAAACATTTAATATATTAATGTAAACATTCAATATATTAAAAAAAAAATCATATGGGTGAGCGACAATTGTACAATGTGGATTATGGTTCATGGTATAATAATTTCACCACTACATCAAAAGTTATATTTAGTAACGAATGTGCAACTTTATATAATTATGATAACTAGACGTCACATTTCAATGGCATGATGCTATATTCGGTCCTCTAAATCTCTAGTCAACACTTTTATATGATTATGACTACTATTGACTCTTTTTAAAAAATCCTACTAGCTCATTGAGTTTATTGTGTTTGTACAATTAGGTCACTAAACTTAAAATGTGTAATCAGATCATCAAACAAACAAAATATGTGCAATTGAGACATATTTTTGTTTTCATTTAATGCAAATTGAGTTAAAAACATTTCAATATTTCCTCCCAATGGCATATGAAAATGCAACTCTTATGACATACTTCCTTCGTCTCATTTTATGTGTCTGATTAGATTAAAGAGAATTGACAACAAGTATTTTTAATTCAAATTTTAATACTGTTAAGTTTAATATTAGTATATAACATTTATAATAAAAAATTACATAAAAATACTACTAAACACCAAATATATATATATATATATATATATATGTGTGTGTGTGTGTGTGTGTGTGTGTGTGTGTGTGTGTGTACTAAATAAAATAAGTAAACAATAATGAGTTGATTTGATAGTAAATAGTAAACAAAAGAAATAAAATACTCCGTATAACATAGGAAGTACTATATGAATAATATGATCGGGTTTGACCGGTTTATCAATTAAAAAGTTGTCAAGTTAAAAGTGGATCCATAAGTTTTAGCACATTTATTGAGAAATTAATTAATCAATATGTGAATTGCTAATACGTAATAATGTTCCTATTATGGTGCACAATTTATTGATATGGTATCTAATAGTGTTTAAAATAGGGAAATTATATATGGATTTCATGAAGTAAAATCATTGTCGCGTACAAATTGATCAAATTGTTAGTTCGATAATCACTAATAGCAAAGTTCTAAGTTTGTTTTATCGTGGAAGCGGTTTATTGACTTTTTCTTAATTTGAAGTGGTAAGCTATAGGTAATATATGTTGGTGGTGTTTTGCTAGCTAATGTTACAAGGTGGATTCTTTCAATATATACTATTCAATAGTGATTACATGTTTTTGTCGTCACCCAAAGAACTTCTATCATGTATGACGCATCTTAATTTAGTTAATAGAAAATAAAAATAATTAAGAGTTTAAGATTCATTCTTTGTATGAATAAATAAGAACATGTTATTGCGGGGCTAACAACTATACTACTATAATGATAAGGTAGAGGTTCTTTTGCTACCAACAACATATTAGGTTACTGGGCTACTTGAATTGGAAATCGAGCTCCCCAAATTGGCAAGTAAAAATATGAGAATTGGTAAGGCCATCCAAACTAGTGAATTTTGGACTAGTTTTTGAGGAAATGTGAGTGATGTGGATAAGAGAGAAGGACGAGAGATAATTTTTGAGCTCCTCCAGCAAATAATGGTTTTTTGTGAGACAGAGAGAAAAAAGGGAAAGGAAAAATTGATTATGCGTACATGGTGCATAGATTGCGGCCAGCGCCTGCTGGCATGTCAACTAATTTTTTTGGTTGTGTCAAATTTGTCTTTATATATATGGAAAATTATTACGTGACCTCTCAAGTTCTACTTCTAAATTATATTTTTACTCTCAAATTGTAGACATTTTTTTTGAAAATCACATGATGAAAATAACTTGTCATCGTCTATCTCGTGTCAGGGAGTACAAGCAAGAGAGTATAATTTGAACGGTAGAACTTCCCACATAGGGCAGTTGACAGTTGCCAAACGTCACCGTATAGTGTACTCCGCGATACAGGGAGGAGAGCAGTCCCGTAAGAAGCCAAAAGAGCGCCAACAAAATCCTTCCCGCGTTGATCTCGACGAAGAAACCAATGCTGATCAATCGCCAGCAACGCGACGAAGCAATGGAAGAAGAAGACAACAAGGAAGCCGTATTAATTCCAGTGCAGGAGTCTCAAGTTTCACTCCTATCCTCCCAAGCGGTGTTAGTTCTTAGAAGTTTCCGACCTTGTTGCTTGTGGACATGGAGGATGCGCCTCCTTCAACGTCGAGAAGGTTCCGATTCCGGGACCACAGCGAAGAAGTGAATGCCGGAGATGACTTCAACGGCGACGGCCACACCACAACCGATTCTTCATCTGTTTCCAGCGACCCCGACGATGATACCGAGCTCGAGTCAATGAGTGCTCAGGTGCAAACTTCCCTGTATTGCTACCGTTAACTCAGAATTCAGCTATTAACCAATATTAGAGCAAATTCTCAACAAGAAAACTTGAAATTTCATTATTAACCAATAGCTCGGAGTTCTGCTATTAAAAATGAAAATCTGTCCAGCAAGGGCTTGAATTGTAAAATTTATATTGTTCAACGGTGGAGTGTTTAAGTCTTATGCGTTGTTTATTGCTTTGAAATGTTTCATGGCTAGCTGTTTAAGATATTTGTTGAACCTCTTTCTCGTAGGGCATTAGACATCTTTGTTCAGAACTCCTCGAGCTGAAAATGGAGTCGGAGGAAGAGTTTCAAAATATTGTGTTGGCTAATTATTCCTCATTCATTGGGTAAGTGCATGTTTCGTGATCTAGCTGAACTTAACCTGAAAATGCAATTAGGCCACTGATCGTAATTTTTAGAGTGTTCAGTGGCTTAATTGTACGTTTTTGGAGTGTTCAGTGGCTTAATTGCATTTTTTTTGTTCAGTGGCCTAATTGCATTTTAGGTTACGTTCAGTGGCCAATTTAAACCTTATTCCTTATTTAAATATGCATGTACTTGCTGCTTGGATGGTTGGATGTCGAACTAATATGCATGATTTTGCTTGTAGAATATTTGAAGGGGCTAAAAATTTGGAACATGACTTAAAGCAACTGAAATACCAGGTTTCAACACAAAAGACGCTCATAGAGGATCTTACAAATGGCATTTTAAATAAGGCTTTTGAACAGGAGAAGATAGAGCCGGTGTTTGATGAATCTTTGGATGCTCAAACATCTATAATGACCATTTTAGGCGCTCATACTGAAGATTGTTGTGATATTGTGGATAATCTTCTTGCAGAGCACAGATTGGATGAAGCCATCTTTTATCTGGAGAGGGAAGCTAACTCTGCTGAAAGCAGGCAGTTGCTTCAAGGTTATTCACCAGATAAGTTGGTGTCTTATAATTCTGCAATATCAGAGAAAAGATCTGCAATTGTGGATCAACTCGTCTTAGTGGCTAACAACCCTCGAGTTTCTCCTCCAGAATTGCAAAAAGCACTGGTTGGCCTTTGCAGACTTGGTGAAGATCATCTTGCTACTCAATTACTGTTCAATTATTACCACTCACGTATCGCATCTAGAATAAATGATTTGCACTCCTCAAAGGTATTTCTTCATGGGGTATATATTCAGGAAGTTGGAAAGTTTGTATTTTCTATGATCTCTCAAGCAGTGAGAAGTTTTGTTGCATTACATGGAGGAACCTCTCCTTATGCTTCAGAATTACTTCAATGGGCTGATGAAGAAACTGAGGTTTTTGCCAATTGCTTCAACATATATGTTAAGTCTCTAGTAGAATTAAGTAGTGGACTGCCAATAGTTATAGAGGCCATGCAAATCACAATGTCTTATTGTTCTTTATTAGAGAGTCAAGGGTTGGTCTTGCACTCTAATTTGATAAAGCATATTACTCCTTGTATAGAACAGGTGTTGGAGGTCCATATACAACATTTTAAGAAAGTAATCGGTATTTTTACCTCATCTGATACATGGGTTCTTGGTAGATATCTGGTGTCAGGAATGTTAAATCAAGAGACTTCTTCCACAATCAAAGGACAACAACCAGAGTATTGTCCACTCACTAACAGTGCTAGGAAATTTATCACACTGTTTCAGGTTTGCTTTGTCTCTATTTCACTGTTAGGCTTTATCTTTAATCTTTATAGATATATGGTAGAGTATTAAATTGTGATTATTATGTCAGTAATATGGTAAACCAGATGTTCTTTATATGAAGTTGATTTGAGCTTTCTCATCTCAGCTCTATCTGCTACCCCCATCCCACTTGAGCCAACTGGGAAAGGCTTTTAGCTGGTGGTTTCATCTCTTTGAAAGTTGAAATACTGTGTGCTGAACCTTAGTCTTTTTTGTAAAGTTATAGATTGATGCCACTTCTTATTGAATGGACATGATGAAAGAAACTGATGACTTTCCTTCTTTTTTTAGGCCATATTAGAGGAAGTATCTACATTAATTGCTCTTCATGTAGAAGGGTCAATTATCAGTGGCCTTAAAGACCTTTTCAGCACGTATATTTGTTTTATTGAAAGAGCCCTGATCAGTGGCACTGAGGCTGAAGAAGGTGATTTAGGAATCAATGTAGCAGAATCACTGGTACAAAAACTTTCCCTTGTTGCCAACTTGTCAACGCTGGAGCAAATTCTCTCCAACATGATCCAAAGTGTCTTCATTGGCATCAATCACTTAAAGTTTGAAATTGATAGTTATGTTATGTTCATTCATGACACTTGTGCCCAGATAAGATCTAATTTTTTCAAGCAATTTGTTCTTAAATTCTCACCTTCTGAAGGTGAATGGGGCAACATTCCAGCCTGTTGCACTGGTGGACAGGAGGATTCAAAAATACATGACCCAGAGCCATCCATTTCTTACCAGGTATGGGCCACATTTCTTAATACTGTACACAGGCATATGAAACAAGTATATATTTGGTGTTTCTCTTGTTATGCAATTAATTAGCTGCAGAAGTTGTAGTAAGTTAAACAATTGTTTTTGGGTCATGGCATACAGTAATATTTGCTATCCATATCAATAAACAAAACTTATGTCTTGTGGAAATGAATTTTCAGGAATTCTACCTTGAACTAAGGAGACTTAAGAAACATGCTGAAGATCATTTCATAGATTTGGATTGGTTAACAGATATACTCAAGGAGCTGATGGAGGCTATATTCTTGTGGATTTCAAGAGAAGAAATATGGAAAATTAGTAAAGAGCACTTGTCAGATCAAAATTGTGGCAATTTTACACAGGTATTTTTTGTTTGAGAATATACTTGTTTTACTAGGAGTTTTTAAATCGTAACTAGTACTGCTCTTAATGATATGTAGCTTGAACAACTACTTTTTACCAAATTTTGGAATCTCCCCCTTCTTTGTCATTGTAAAAGAATTTTATACTAAAATTTACTCTGAATTTGGCATCCCTGTCCAAATTTTGAAGTTGAACATGACTACAAACAAAAAAATTCAGACTTTTCGCTGGGCTATATATTTGTAAAGATCTAAAAATCGAGTGGCAGCATGCTGATTGAGAATGAGCTTAAGTAGCTTAGATTAGATGCGATGAGCAGCTAACAAATGAGATATTGATTAATGAACAAATTGCACTTTTGGTCCTGTGAGTATTAGGGTACTGACAATTTGAGTACGTAACTTTCAAAACTCACAATTTAAACCTTTAACTATGCAATTTTTGGCACATTTGGTCCTCCGGGCCAAATTGCCGGCCAATTTTGGCCGGAAAAAGATTTAATGCTTCGAATTAATTTCTGATGAGGGTAAAAACGTCATTTCACTCTCTTCTTCTTCATTCACCCCTTCTTCTTCGTTCTTCTTCTTCTTCATCATGGGGCTAAAATTGCACTCTTCTCTTCTCCTCCTGGGGCTCCCCTGAGTTCTGGAAAACCAAACAGGGCCTCAAGCTCTTCTGCAAATTCCAAGCCCAGTTTCAGTAAGCTCAAAGTGAGGGCTGTGAAGGAGAAAACTGAGGAAATCAAGTCCCAGACATCTGCAGAGGAAGTCACCGTGATAATTTGACATCTCATATTAAACTACATCATATACACCATGATGTCCCCTCAAGGATATAGTGGTCCAACTCGTCAATTAATCACTTTTATGTCTATATTCAAATGTAATATGATTGATTCCCAGTAGGCCCAACACATGCTGATCAAGTGCAGAACGAAGAAGAAATCTGCAGAGGAAATCAAACACATTAATCAAGTGCTGATCACGTTCTTCGTTCTTCGTCCCAGACATCTGCAGAGGAAATCAAGTGCAAGGATGAAGAAGAAGAAGAACGAAGAAGAAGAAGAAGAACGAAGAAGAAGGGGTGAATGAAGAAGAAGAGAGTGAAATGATGTTTTTACCCTCATCAGAAATTAATTCGAAGCATTAAATCTTTTTCCGGCCAAAATTGACCGACAATTTGGCCTGGAGTACCAAATGTGCCAAAAATTGCATAGTTAAAGGTTTAAATTGTGAGTTTTGAAAGTCACGTACTCAAATTGTCAGTACCCTAATACTCACAGGACCAAAAGTGCAATTTGTTCTTGATTAATTGGCAATGAGGACTGCAATCCAATGCCACAATTAGTTATTTTCTATTTCTCATTATGAGCAACCACCAGTTTCTCAATTGAACAGCATTGCAGCAATCTTCCATTGTTGGGCTCACAAGATATAATTTGGTATTATTCTTGTTTCCTGTCCTCAACAGTTGAACCTCGACCTACATTTTCTGGTGGAAATTGTTGGATGGGGTGGATGGTTTACTGATAACATTATGAAAGCATACTTGGATATTGTTTCTCGTATGGAGTCAGCCTTACTGTCTGCTGGGTTGAATTCCAAGAGGTATACAGAGTTACCCTTTGTGTCTTTAAATTTGAACCAAACACACATGCCTAGATTTCATACTGCTAAAACCTTTCTTCCATCCGTGCAGTAACATTAATGATGATGAATGGGCAACCAATGCTGCTATCAGAACACTACAGAGGCTACAAGAATGCGATAAAATTGAAGCTGTAACTAAAGTACCTGCAGGGGAGCTTGAGCTCAATGCAGATTTAACCGGACCCAATTTAAGGGACATCAATGGCTCATCTGAGGTCAGTGATATTGCAACCTCCCCAAAGGATGCTGCCTATATTGCAAATTTGGAGACCAATGAAGGAGATACACTGGATGCAACAGTTGTAACTTCACATTCTTAAAGATAAGCTCAGCCATACAACTATAAAGACATCAATACCACAGGCAGGCTGACATATGTCAAAGAATTCTCTTCTTTATCAGTAACAGACATTTCCCCCCACTTAAATTATATCAAAGAATTCTCTTCTTTCATGCATTCTCTAACTTTCACCTTGTATTCTCGCGGCGCCTTACATAACGTGTCCGGTCATTATACCTAGGTCTATCTTGTGCTCTCTGTGGTACTGGCTCCACCCTCTTCTGTTTTTCAGGTGACCTTTGCACGATTTCTCCGTTAACAAACAGCTCAGCTGGAAAATGTTTGCAAATATATTCAACAATGAGGATATTCCAAATTGCAGGTGATAAATTACAAACAAGCCTAAAGAGTAAAGAGTAAAAGGTATTAGGTATACCTCCATAGTCCTTGTTCTCAGGGTCAACATAAGAATCTGGAAGAACAAAGAGAACTCCAGGCAACCCTGTTATAGATTCCAAATCACCAAAATTTAAAACCAATCAGTTGCAGGATACTACATTGGCAATGGAGTAAACTAAGCCAAAATCCAAATATACCTTCGAGTTTAGTGGATGTCTCTTCATCAATTTCACATCCAAATCCAAAGTACCTCTCACAGGAGACATTGTATATCTTCTTCTTAGCCTCTTCTTCACTTCATTTCACACAACAATTTAGCAAATAAGATTCCTAATTGAGAAATTGCAGCTTAAAAAAACGATAAACATGAAAGATTAGTTACTAATACCTTCCAACAACTTTAGCTAGTGTTTGAATGTAACAATCAATCATTTTCTGTTTGGTAGCGTTTTCTCCTCCAGGCTTATCCATCACTATAAGCCAGTGCTCGTAGTCGCAGCCGGGAAAAAGAGGACCTATATCGGCGGGAGGGCGGTCCCCGGAGTTAGGCCTGGAATTGAGGGGCGAGTAGGCGGAACGGCTAGCCCTGCAGCTAATCGGACCCAACCGAGCACCGCCGGGAGCGACGGCCCGGAGAGACTGAGCATGAATGGAACCAGAGACATTACTTGTGAGTATAGGTAGACCAGTTGAGAAAATCCGTTTATGAAAAATTCCTGTAGAAGTGGTCGACCGACTAGTAATTAGTGAACCGGTGACAGTTACAGCTCCCGTGCCGGCCATGGTTGTAGGTTCGCCGGAGAGTAAGTGAGAAATGGAGACCGGCGAGAAGGAGGGTTTTAGACACTTTCACTATGAGGTTTAAGATAATGTGGGCCGGGTTTGGCCCAATTTTTAAACTGCATTGTGGGCCTATCCTTATGTCTAAGGTATTTTATATCATGGATCCGGTCATAGCATTATAGATCCTGGATTGAAACGATGAAATATAAATATATAATACAGAATTCATCGTTGTAAGATACAAAATTCTATAACATAAGAACAAAAAATCACAACACAAGACGCATACATATTTTATATATTTATTTATTTTTCAAATTTGATTTAGGTACATAATTTGTATTCATAGGCACATAAGTTTATAACACAAGACACAGAAATTAAAACACAATTAATAATTTGTTTCAAGGACAAAATTCATACTCTTAAGGTACAAAATTTTATAACACAAGACACAAAAACTCACACATATACACATGCACCAACTGTGAACTCTGATTCATGGTATAAAGATTGTATTTCTTTGGCAAAATTTAGTATGGAATATTTATTAAATTGTGCAAAATTTTGAAAACATTTTTTTAAAAAATCATGAATATTGCCATCTGATTTCTAATTGGAAGATGCAATCATAGTTAGGGATGATAATTCAAATCCGCTCTGTGGATATCTATCCGAATCAACTCCGCATGAATCAAGTTTTTTTTTTTTTTTCACATTAGGCATAATTACGTGAGGTGTACTATCTTAGATTATTCATACTTAATTGACCAGTGAGTGAATGGACCGTTCTCACAAGAAACCATACTTGAAACCTTATAGTTATAATTATCAAACTAATCATTAGGGCTGTGCAAACCCGACCCAACCCGACCAACCCGTCCGATCCGAATCCGAAACCACCTCATCCGACCCGCCCGTGGTCCGACTAGCCATACCCGAACCGAAGGCATAAACGACGTCGGATAAAGGAGGTCGGATAGGGTTTGGTTTTTTCCCATCCGACCCGTCCGACAATCCGATCTAACCTAGGGTTAGGTTTTATGTGTATGCTAGACGACGTCGTATGAGGTGAGTATATATGCATGTTGAAGCCCTTGTGAAGCCAGATGCGCAGCCCTACTCTTCTGATTCTTCTCTGAGACTCTCTCACTCTCAGATCTCTTCTCTCGTTCTCTGCTCTCTACTCCTCTCAATCTCACCCTCTCATTCTTTTGAGTCTCTCACAGTCTCACCTCTCTCTAGTCTGTACTCTCTGAGACTGAGAGTCTGACTGTATGAGACTCTGACTCTCTGTGGACTGTGGAATCTTCGACTGTCCGATTGTCCGATTGTCCGATTCCGGTGGGCGGTGGTCGACTGGTGGAAGCCCTTCTCGAGTTGGTGGTGGAACGTGGACTGGTGATTAGAGGCCCTTGTTCTCCGGGGAATATTAAGGGGAAACCAAGTAAATCAGAAACCCTAGTTTTTGTTTTTGTGATCTGTTGATTCTTTCCTCTCTGTATGTTCATATGCTCGTATATTTGTGTTATATTATGCTATGTTGTGTTCTATTCTCTGATCTATTATGATGGAAGCAGAAACCCTAGTTTTTGTTTTTGTGATATGTTGATTCTTTTCTCTCTGTATGTTCATATATGCTCGTATATTATTGTTAGATTATGCTATGTTGTGTTCTATTCTCTGATCTATTATGGTGGAAGCAGAAACCCTAGTTTTTGTTTTTGTGATCTGTTGATTCGTTTCTCTCTGTATGTTCATATGCTCGTATATTATTCTTAGATTATGCTATGTCGTGTTGTATTCTCTGATCTATAAAGGTGGAAGCAGAAATCCTAGTTTTGTACCTGTGATTTGTGTGGACTGTGATATTGTAATCTGTTGAGAAGTTCCAGATTGCATCTCACTTGTCTCTAATTTTGTACTTGTGATTTGTGTGGACTGTGATATTGTAATTTGTTGAGAAGTTCCAGATTGCATCTCACTTGTCTCTAATTTTGTACTTGTGATTTGTGTGGACTGTGATATTGTAATCTGTTGATACTTGAGAAGTTACAGATTGCATTTATTGGTGGAAGCCATTAAATGTTAAAATAAAAGTTAAAGGTTTGAATGTGAAATTATCAAGTTTCAAACTTGAAATTTCCATTTATTGGTGGAAGCCATTAACTGAAATCTAGATAATGATGAATTGGATACAATTCCTGAATCTGGATTTCTTTCATTATTTGAGTATGTTTATGGATGTATTACCCTTAATTGAATATTTGAATGTAAATATGTAAATATGTAAATATGAAAATGTGAAATCTTGATACATGATGACACAAAAAGTGTCTGAATCCAGATTTCTTTGTATGTTTATGTGAATGTGAAAATGTGATTGTTGGCTTGTTGCCTTTGCTGAGTAATTGATGCCCATCATTTTAGATGGAAAGCATCAATGTTCCTGACTCTGGACCTCAACCCTCAACTCAAGAGGGACATGGAGGACAAGCCCAAGGCACTGAGAATCCTGCTCAGCAGCCTCAGGTTGCTCCTGCTGTTCCTGCAAAAAAGATGAGGGTGGTTGAGTCTAGATCTCCAGTCTGGGATCACTTTGAAAAAATCAAAAACTCTGAAAATATAGTGGTTCAAGGCAAGTGCATTTACTGCCTGAAAGTGTTTTTCTGTGAGTCTAAGAAACATGGCACATCATCTTTGAAAAATCATATGATGGCATGCCTTAAAAATCCTGTCTCAAAGGATATGAGACAGTCCCTTCTCACATTCAATACTGTTTCAACTTCTGCAACAGAGGCTCCTGTGGGGGTTTTGGGGACTTGGGTCTTTAATCAAGAAGCCAGTAGAAGGGCATTATGTGAGATGATCATAATATATGAACTCCCTTTTAGGTTTGTTGAGGGTCAGGGGTTCAAGAAGTTTATTCTTGTAGCTTGTCCTAGGTTTCAGATTCCTTCTAGGTGGACTATTTCTAGGGATATCTACCAAATCTTCCTAGATGAGAGGTTGAGTTTTAAGAAGTTGTTTAGGGTGGGCACCCAAAGGGTCAGTTTAACCACTGATACTTGGACTTCTGTCCAAAGGATTAATTATATGTGCATTACTGCACATTTTATTGATGACCAGTGGAGGCTTCAGAAAAAAATCATTTCCTTTGTCCATGTTTCTTCTCATAGGGGGGAGTATATTGCCAAAGCCTTAGAGAGTTATCTGTTGGAGTGGGGGATTAAAAATGTGTTCACTGTGACAATGGACAATGCTTCTTCTAATGATACAGCTATGAGATTTTTTAAAAGCAAGTTGTTGTCTTGGGGGGGGGGGGGGGGGGGTTCTTCTGTTAGGGTGCAGTATATGCACATGAGGTGTATAGCCCATATTTTAAACTTAGTTGTTCAAGATGGCTTGAGGTTTGCAGATGAGTCAGTTAAAAGGGTGAGGGATGCAGTGAGATGGGTTAGGAACTCACCTGCTAGGTTGAATAAGTTCACAGAACTTGCTGAACTCATTGGGGTGGAAGCCAAATCAGCTTTGCAGCTTGATGTCCCTACAAGGTGGAACAGCACTTACCTTATGCTCAACACTGCAATTCAATATCAAAGTGTCTTTGACTCATATCATCAAAATGATCCTTCTTTTTCTGCTGACTGGGTTCTGCACCTTCTTTCCTTGATTGGGAGACTGTTGAAAGCTTAATGAAGCTTTTGAAAACTTTTTATGAAATGACTGTGAGAATATATGGTTCTCTTTATGTCACTTCTAACACATTCTTCTCTGAGATCTCTGATCTCAGTTGCATGCTGGAAGATATGACTAAAGCTGAGAGAACTGAAAAGGTAAAAAACTTGTGCAATTTATTTGTGTAATTCTGTATATCTTGTAAGTTGTTTACTTGTTTGTGTTTTTAAATGCTTATGCTTTCTGAGTTTCTGCATTTATTAGGCAATGGGGACAAAAATGAAAGAGAAGTTTGATAAGTACTGGGGAGATCCAGAAAAAATGAACCATATCATTTT